TGAAATTGGGGAGGGGGGGTGTTCGGATTTACAGGGTGCGTGCGCCAGGGCTGATGCGGGTGAAGGTGGGCTGTATGGCATCATAGTTCACAAAACTGGGGGGGTGTTGGGGAAATTCAGGGGGGTATACACCCCCATGGGGAGGGGGTTAGGGAAATCCCTGCATCTCAGACTCACGGGGCTTTTACAGGAAGTCATAAGAGCATAAGAACGGCCGTACTGGGTCAGACCAAAGGTCCATCTAGCCCAGTATCCTGTCTGCCGACAGTGGCCAGCACCAGGGGCCCCAGAGAGGGTGGACCGAAGACAAGGATCAAGCGATTTGTCTCCTGCCATCCCTCTCCAGCCTCTGACAAACAGAGGACAAGGACACCATTTTATCCCCTGGCTAATAGCCTTTTATGGATCTAACCTCCATGAATTTATCCAGCTTCTGTTTAAACTCTATTATAGTCCTAGCCTTCACAGCCTCCTCTGGCAAGGAGTTCCACAGGTTGACTACACGCTGTGTGAAGAAGAACTTTCTTTTATTAGTTTTAAACCTGCTACCCATTAATTTCATTTGGGGTCCTCTAGTTCTTCTATTATGGGAACTAATAAATAACTTTTCTTTATCGGCCCTCTCCACACCACTCATGATTTTATAGACCTCTATCATATCCCCCCTCAGTCTCCTCTTTTCTAAACTGAAAAGTCCCAGTCGCTTTAACCTCTCCTCATATGGGACCCGTTCCAAACCCCTAATCATTTTAGTTGCCCTTTTCTGAACCCTTTCCAAGGCCAAAATATCTTTTTTGAGGTGAGGAGACCACATCTGTACACAGTATTCAAGATGTGGGCGTACCATAGTTTTATACAGGGGCAGTAAGATATTCTGGGTCTTATTTTCTATCCCTTTCCTAATAATTCCTAGCATCCTATTTGCCTTTTTGACCGCCGCTGCACTCTGTATGGAAGTTTTCAAAGAACTATCCACGATAACTCCCAAGATCTCTTTCCTGGTTTGTCGTAGCCAAATTAGCCCCCATCATACTGTACGTATAGTTGGGGTTATTTTTCCCGATGTGCATTACTTTACACTTATCTACATTAAATTTCATTTGCCATTCTGTTGCCCAATCACTCAGTTTGGTGAAATCTTCTTGGAGTCCCTCATAGTCTGCTTCTGTCTTGACTATCCTAAACAATTTGGTATCATCTGCAAACTTTACTACCTCACTGCTTACCCCTTTCTCCAGATCATTTATGAATAAGGTGAAAAGGATTGGGCTCAGGACTGACCCTTGGGGGACACTACTAGTTACCCCTCTCCAATCTGAAAATTTACCATTTATTCCTACCCTTTGTTTCCTGTCTTTTAACCAGTTCTCAATCCAAGAAAGGACCTTCCCAGTCACAGAATATAGATAAGATGGGTGGCTCTCTCTCTGAATAATACTTGAAGCCCTAGCATGGGCATTATGGAGAGCTGTTCAAAACCTGTTTCCTACTTCCCATGGAAAATGACAGTGAAAACAGAGGGGAAAATAGCTTGTCTGCATCCGGCAGGGAAATTGTTGCTTTCTTCAACAGAAATTCAAATAGCAAAATATTTCATCCAAGTAGTTTTGATTTGAAAATGCTCCCATAGTGCTTCACCGTCTCCTTTCCCTTTCTGCCTGGTCTCCCTCATTTCGTTGTCCCCCTTTGGGTGACAGCAGTGCCGGAGCATGGCTTGAGGGGGGAGAAATGGCCCAACCAGATGGGACCCCTCTTCCCCAAGCCCCATCTCACCCCCCAACCTTCACTCTTGCACTCCTCACCCTTCCACTCCTCCACATCCCCAAGGCCCTGCCCTTTAGGGATGTAAAAGCCCATCTAAGTGGCTAAGTGGCCATAGTAGCGCCCGGCTGCGGCAGGCCCCCCCCCTTCAGGGCTAGAGCAGCCCCCTGCCTGTGGCAAGAGGGGAGCTGCTCCAGATCCCACCAGTTAACTGGTTAAACCTTCAGTTCCCTACTGCCCTGACTCCTGCACGCTGTACATCACCAGTCTCCTGCCCTGAAGGATGCAGGCAATGCTGGGTAAGTCTTCTAGTTATAATCATACTAGCTGGAGTTACCTGGTGTTGCTTGGTCCCGCCTGCCCTCTCCCCAGCACTGCTTCCTGCTGGCCAGTTTTCCTCCTCCTGATCTCCCCCGGCCAGCCCCGCTCCCGTCGGCCACCCCTCCCCTGATCTCCCCCGGCCCATTCCTCCCCCCCCGGAGCAGGTGTGCCCAGTTTTTTTTTTAAGACTATCTAGTAACTGTAGCCACAGGGGGCAGGGCAGGTGACCGAGCTGTTGTGCGCGTGGGGTGAGGCAAGTCCCGGACAGCTCTGGGGGCCGCAGGTGGCGGGCACGTGACCGAGGCTGGGCGGTGCTGCCCCTGCAGTGCAGCAGGTTATTTTTTATTTTTACAGGTTGAGATCAGGCCCAATCGGGTCCAAAAGTACCTTAAAACATTCTCCTGGTGGAAAGGTTAGCCCATGCAACGTTTGGTTGTGGTAGCTCTTATAGTGTCCAAGTTATTAGAGCACAAACATACAAACATTCTCCTTTATATATTAGATTAGAGAAAAGGAAGCAACGCCATATTTTCAGCTATGATCCCCTATATTTAAGAACAGGTTAGATAGACATCTGTCAGGGATGGTGTAGACGGAGCTTGGTCCTGCCTTGAGGGCGGAGGGCTGGACTCGATGACCTCTCAAGGTCCCTTCCAGTCCTATGATTCTATATTTACCTAGGTTGAGTAGAGTTTCTGGGGCCTCATTTTCTGACCTGGGAACCTGTGTTTATAGTAGGGGCAGGGAAACATTTTTCAGTCAGGGGCCAATGATCTACAGAAAAAACAGTTGGGGGGCCCCCACACAAGTTAAAAAAAATCAACTCCTCACTCACACTCAACTTGGGGTGCTGGGGATTGTCCCATTCTGGCCAGCCAGCGTTCACGCTCCAGCCCTGCAGGGAGGGACAGAGACTTGCTACAGGTCAGATCAAATTAAGCAGGGGACAAAGGTTCCCCACCCCGAAGCAGAGGAATGTATCTTTAATCTTTCATTTTTCATGTCCGATCATAAATGTAAGCCAGGCACCTGTATAAAGCCACAGAGCAAAATTTATTGGTGGAACCCATTTGAATATTATACACAGTTCGCGGCTATATGAAAATGACACATTGATATGTTACCTTTTTAATTTAATTTAATTGAAACTATGTCTCATCTTGAATAAAACCAAGTGCCACATTAATGGCCTCTTTAATAAACAGAAGGACAAAATTACTAAGTTGCACAGACACTGCAGAATTTACTCCAAATTTAATATTGCCAACATTTTTGTTTTTAGAACAGCTTTTTTTAAAAACTTAGGAATAAGTGCTATTTTTTGGCTTCAGCTCTTAAATACATAGTAAAGTACACGATGAGAGGAAACAGTGTCTTCTTAGCAGAACCCTTAAAAGCCAGCATTATTAAAATGTCATCAAAATCATATTTACATGTTCAGAAAGCTTTCTTCAATCTGCCTACAAAAGTGCTTTTGACTCTTGAATTTAGCTTTTATATCAGAACAGTAGTTCCATTTAATACCGTTTTAAGTCAGTACAGTACATTTAGATACTGAAAATAAAGTTCAATGGTTTTAAAAAGGGAGAGAATTAGCCAGGTGAAAGCACTTTAGAGATGCTGTGAAAATCTTCCAAATTCTCAGGAACATGGTCCATATTTTCTGTGTTACTAAGCTTTATAGTGCTCAATAGTCTTATTTTAAATATCCAATGTGTTGGGAAAAAGGCTTTTAGCAGTGACTATATTCCATTACATATAAACACTCAGATCTTACAACCTTATGAGCTTCAGTAGAGAGGGCTTCACCCATGAAAAGATTGGTCTGAGCACATCCAAATACAGGATCAAGATCAAAATGTTTGTAGTTAAAATCAAAACTACCTACTTAGGGAAGTCACAAGTGGAATAATGAATTTTAAAGACCAACTGGAGCCAAAAAATTTAAAACCATTTTTTTCCTTATATATCACAACATCTGTTAGAGTATTACATCCAATTCCAGTGACAGCCAATGTAGCAAAAAAAAACCCTCAATGGATAACACTTAAAAAAAATGTGTTAAAATACTCATCCTAAGGCTTGCGGACATTCTTTAATGAAAGTTTTGGATTCATGAGGAATGCAGGATTGGACCCACATACATCTTATCACATGAACATTAAAGCTTGTTGCAGAAAAATGGGTATTTTCCGGAAGAAAGGCATAACTGTATATCAACATTAAAATACGTGATGGCTTGTTTCAACCAGTCATTTGTTTATTTCCAAATATTACTGCTGCCACTGCATTGTAATAATTCAAGATAATGCCATAAGGCATGAACTCGTATGTTTAAGGAAATGAAACTTTTAAAAAAATATTCAAACTGGTCAAAGTACAATAATTAAAACTGTTCAAACAATACAATTTTAGGGAACTCACAAGTAT